GTTTGGTGATTCCAATTAATTTGAATTAAATTAGCGGCAGGAATCTACTAAGGAGAGGAATAATCAGCATCAAGGGTCAAATGGTGCCCAAATTACAGGCGAGTCGTTCACAAAAATGGCAAAATAATTATTGGCAAGCAGCATGGCATCAAAAATTATGCCAACACACAGCAAAAAGGAGCTGTGGCCGCAAGTCAAAGCTCTCCGACAGGGACCAGCAGACACCTGACGGGACAGTCGCTGATAACCACAGAACTGAAACTCTACAAATCACAGCGAAATAGAGTCATTTCAAATCTGAACCAATCACAACAATAAAAGTACGTGAAGAGCTTCACGAAGCTGGTACGTCTGACAGTGTTTCCAATGATTAGACCACGCTCTATACAGATTACGCACAACCTCAAATGGCACACCAGATTTAACTAATTACGAGCTTAACCCCATGAAACCTGCGTACCCATGTAATGCAGCCGCTGTATTCAAACCTGTGGAGTTTCAGGCCTATTTTAAATTCTAGTGGAGATCCCGCGGTTTCCCACGATCCCAAATACATCCTGCTGAATTACAAGGAAATGTGTAAATTGATCTCCAAGATCTAAATATTTTTCCATTTGTTGTAATGCTGTGGCCATAAAAACATGGCATCCTCAGGTTGAATATTTCCCTCAATATAAGCATTATGTAGAATCTGCTTAAGGGAAAACTTATGTGAAAATGTTAGAGTTTTAGGAGTTAAGGGAAACTTCTCGCTATTGTATTAAGTGTGCTTTGTTTAAAAAAAAACAAACCTCCACCAAGGTAGCACAGTCAAAATCTTGCTGAGTGAACATGGCTCATAAGAAATTTAAGGTATCTGCAACATGAGATTTTATAAGATGGCTGCCACATTGTTTGACCTACTGTCAAACAATCAATACGGTCCATCCCTGATGTAATAGCAACCCACCAACAAAATTAATTTTATATTTATATCTCTCTGTTCATTATTTTTAGAGTAATCTTGTACACTAAAAGACAGACAGACCAACAACCTCCTTAGCAGAGGTAACAATCGGGACCTGCAGATAGAGGGATCTGAGCCACTGCCTAAAATGAAGTACTTTATTTCAACCTCAATTCCAACTGCCATTCCTATACCCTATCCTACCCACTACAGCTGCCCTGCCATCTCTTGTGCTGACCTTGGCCGTGCAGGTGATGCGTGGGCAGGGAGAGCCCTGGTGACAGGGGGCGCCGCAGGGGTGCCCGCATTCCGGACGGGGGGCAGAGCAGGGCTGCTTGCAGCTGCCTTCTGGGAGGCAGTCGCCACGGTGACAGATGCGGGGGCAGCGGTGCATGCCACAGGGGAGCAGGCCGTTGCAGGGGAGGCCACAGGAGATGTCCGTCAGGTGGCAGGGGATGTTGCTTCTTTGCTGGGGCACAGAGAGAGACCTCGCTTTGGCAGGGTAACTACCGTAATGCACTTTTATTTGTGATGGTGGAGCATGATATGGAGGGAGTTTTCCTCCAATTTTTTTTCCAGAGGGTAAAACAAAGCAATACATATATGGCATGAGACGTCCATGTTGCTACTTGGGAGCACAAGAGTTTCCATGCAGAAGAACTTAGGCGTATGCTAATATATCGATGGCCTCAAGCGAGAAGGGCGTGAGTGACATTCTACAAATTTTACAGGAGAGCCAAAAAACTGCACCACCTGTTAAAAAAAATTTTCCTGCAGATATGACTTTTTAAAAAGGCATTTTAACCCTTTTAGGATAGGAACTGAGACTCCAGACTTGGTCAGGAGATGGGCTAGTCTCAGTTATTCCAAAACAACCAAAAAAGTCATTTTTGACCGAAGTGTTGCTTACGCCCTTCTTGCATGAGGCCATCGATATTTGTAGTAGCAGTTATTTTCCCAATTACTGCAGATAAACTTAATGAGCTAAAGCTCCGAAAATGGAAGGACTACAGAACCCAGACACACTGACTGCTATTTTTTAATTCACCTCATGGTTCCCCATGCACCACTTCTTGGTGAGGTAGGTACACGGAGGGCATTTTTCATCACTATGGCAGTTGTGAAACACTGAAAGGCAGAGGACAAAAGCATTATTAACGACAGAGACCAATTAATCGACATAATTATGATTTGACAGCGATACAGCAGATAGATTGCTCATCATACAGATCAGGGATGTCAAACGAGTTGAAAGGAAGCAAGCTGTGACTGACCTACGTAGCATCGCTGTACTATGTACTTTCATTTAAATCACCCTTTCAAAGCAAGAAATTCCAGTTTTAAAATTATGTTGTCTGCTTTTCAACTCTTCGGTAAACACCAGAGTCTGTTGCGCTCGGCTAACAAATAAGCGGTGACCCTCAATAATCGTAATTCTTATTTTGTTCTGATCTGAAAGTAACGCAGAAATCTGAAATGGTATACTTTATTTACACTTAGCCATTTAATGAGTCTTGAGCTGATCGGATCACTTAAAAAGGTCAAGCGTTAATGTGTCCGAGAGGCATTTGAGCCAGGTGTAAATTGGGTTTCTAAAAACCACCTTGAAGGAGTTTTGAGACACATAGCAGCTGCACAGTGGTCAAGTTTGAATGAATCAGTCTACAGAAGCAACATAACGTACATCAGCATTACGCTACATAAAAAACATAACATCTCTAGCTATGTAAGTAACGCGCAGGCAGAGGAGGAACTTTTCTACGGCTGCACCGTAGAAGGCACTCCAACATTGGGCGCAGGCTTTAATCTTTATGATTCGCCATAACAGCAAATGATTTTTATCAGACCTGGGGTGGATTACGCATAATCAGTGCGATTACGATGATTACGAGACATTTTTTAAAGATTATGATTACAATTACAGTCCTCCAAAAATTTATGATTACGATTACATGGGTTTAGAATTTGATTATGATTACGATTACAATCTAGATTACAATCATGATTACGAATGGTTAGACTAAGGTTTCTTTGTGGATATAACTTTATAATGGTACATGTATATTGATGTATTTATATATTTATAAAATAGCATGTGAAATGATATAACATTGTTTTTGTATTGTTGAATTACTTGTGAAATAATAACTGGTACAACAAATAATAACAACAGTCCCTGCAAAATTAGAGATTACGATTACGATTACAATTACGGGCCCATCAAAATTAGTGATTACGATTGCAATTGTAATCGTAATCATAATCGTAATCCGGATTACAATCCGACCCCGGGTCTGATTTTTATACTTCCCCCCCACATCATCACACTAGGGCGATAATCCAGGCGATGCGCCCCATTGCCCAAAAAACCATCAATGAACTGACATTTGCATTTCATAAAAGAAACTGAAAACCAGACCAGTATTAGTTCAGGGAAAATCCACCAATGTGGTTCAGAGTAAATGCAATGTGGAAAATCACATCAGGATATTATCCAGATAGAAGATGCATGAAATGATGAGTGTAAACAGAACCCAAGATTGTACTCAAGCCAGGGAGGAGTTCATGAAGCTAAAAAGTATTTTAAGCCACTTACAACAGCAAAACGAACAAATTTCTCAGGCAGGAGGCTAAACTAATTCAGATGGGAGAGTTCATTAATGGAAAAACGTTTACTCATTGACCCCAGGAATGTGCATCTTCGAGCAGCCAGTTCTTACCTGGATGATCACATTCATGTCTCCTGGTGCAAAGGTTCTTACACTCAGGCGGTTTGGTGCCACAGGATATGGGCGGATACATGACTGCTTCTCCGCAGTAGCACGTCAGTTCATCAAAGCCTACGGAAAAGAAACAGAGGCACCTGCATTACCATACTTTATAACAGCACAGTAACATCCTTCAATCAGGTCCATCACCATTTTGACGCTGCCCAAATTATTTTTAGATCCAGAGGACCCAGTCAATACTGGACTTTGCCCCTTACTGACTAATGGACTGGTTTCAATACCTTGTTAAAACGTGTGCGTGTGGTGCAATACCTGCATACACCATTAAACAACAAGAACATCCATAGTGCCGTGCTCTCTGAGCCAGTAGAGCAGAGCATTACCTGCTTGCAAGACAAGACGTTGAGTATGTGCACCGCTGGGATGTATAAGCAGGTAGAAAGGGACCAAATGGCCCCAAAGAAGCTTAGTTTTTAAGGGAAATTTCTGGATCTCATTGAGAAACGTCATTCACGAGCACTAACCAATGAGTGTTTTTTTCCCCTCTTCAAATAGTGTCTCCGTGTGCCAATTTGTTTAGCTACTTTAGACAGCAGAGAAATGTTTAGTGGACGAATCAGAGGCAGGTCATGCAAGGACATCTACAACCCCATTTCCAAAAAAAAGTTAGAATGCTGTGTAAAATGAAAAAAACCAAAATGCAATGATTTCCAAACCATTTAAAATCTTGATTGAGTACAAAATGACACAAAGTCGACATCAGATGTTGAAACTGAGAAATTTTATTGCGTTTTGAAAATATACTCATTTTGAATTTGAAACCCAAAAACCGTTTGAAAAAATCGGCACAGAGGCAGGTTTACCACTGTGTTCTATTGCAACACCACCTCTTTTCACAACCCTCTGCAGGCTTTGTGAACCGAGGAGACCAACTGCTACAGTTTACAAAGCAAAATGTTTTCCCATTCTTGCTTCAAAGGTGAGAAGAATGATGGGAAAAGAAGGGTATGGACTGCAGGGAGACCCGCTCATGATTCATAGCATGCCACTGCATCTAATAAAGCACGATGGAGGAAGTGTTACAGAAGTGTTATGGCGCGGGCATGCATGGCAGCCAGTGGAACTCATTCTCTTGTATTTATTGATGGGACTACAGAGAACAGCAGCCAGATGAATTCTAAGTTTGCCCGAATTCAGACAAATAATTCAGAACTCCGTGGTCAGTGCTTCATAGAGCAGACAGACAATGACCTGAATACTGAAGTCATCTTCAGGGATAAATTGACTATTTATACCAACACCGCTCAAGATTGGGTCAAAAAATCTGAACCCGTGCGAGGATCGAACTCATGATTTAGGGATTCCACCCCACCGCTCTACCAATTAAGCTACAAAGTCCAGTTGGGAGCAGTTTGCAAGTTTGATCTCTCAAGGCCGAGATGCACATGACATTGTCACGATGAACATTTGGAAGATCAATTACTTTTCTGAAGGCAAAGTGTTTCGATTCCATGCTGAAGTCTATCTGACTGAGCCAAACGCAGAGAAAACGTTGTGTTTTCAAAAAAAAAAAAAAAAAAAAAAGCCGTGTATGAGTGAACAAGGCCTTAGCCATCACCAGAAAGGGAATACATCCAGTGTTTACCAATTAAAAAATATTGTTGGGTTTACTGTGGTACACAGCATAAAATAAGAGTCATGAGCTGAGTCAGACTGAACACTGTATAAATCCCCAGAATCCCAACAGATTACAAGAAGTATTAGAGTAACCCATAGTTTTGCATCATTAGCAGCATGACGGAATCATACGATAATTAATATCAATTTCCAACAAGCCTTTGCAAAGCAGCAAGAGCCAAAACGAGCTTTGCTGGAGGGATGAGAAAAGCTTTTATCCAATCCACTGGCACCATTTGATTTTGAGGCCCATAACTGCATGAATACAGGACTGCTGGCGAGCATCGGGTACTCACTGGTTTGCCAGCAAGGCAGGCAGTTCCCGCGGTGACAGAGGTCCTGGCAGCGGTGAAGACCGCAGTTGAGCTTGTAGCCACAGATGAGGGAGCAGCGGTGCGCAGTATCCTGACAGAGAAAGACAATCAAATTAAAAAAGCAGGGAATGAAGGTCTGGCTCATTTCTGAAAGGATTATACTGACTGAAGCCACATTGATCTCTAAGTGAAGCGGAGATCTTAAGGCTTCTCGTCCATCTAGCCCTGATTTAAAAAAACAAGTTTAAAATTCACGGTTGGACCACAACAAAGCCTGCAAGGGGTCCAGTCACACTGGGCATTACAAGATGTTTATTTTTTAAAATTTGTGCGATAGATGCAATACCAAAACATCCACATGGTGGCAGTAGATGAAAATTTTTTTTAGCGATTTATCCCGATATCCGTCCATGGATGTCACTGTTTCACCATGTAGGGTAATCAAACTGAAGATCAAGGCAAAACAACGTTTTTACAGCAATACTGCATCAATATTCTCTTCAGTAACCGATGGAGAGCGGTAATTTTGCAGGAACTGAGCCGACACTCACTACACAGCAAAGTTCGTTACACTTGTGTCGACCACAGGACCGCTTCTTGCTGCAGCGCCTCTCACAGGTGAACACCAGCTCCCCTGAGAACAAGCAGGAGGAAGGGATGGTGAGAGGAAACAAAGAGTATTTATGTGAGAAAGTGATTAAAAATAAAGCATCCACCCACTTCACAATATGTTACCCTTCCTGAAAGCTTACCTTCATTTTGTATTGTTGAACAGGGAACTTCCTAAGAATGAAAGTAAAAAAATCTTGGCTTAGCATGACACCACTAGGGTGGTAAAATGCACCTTGAGGTATCGAAGCAATGGCATTTGTTGGAAGACTGAAGGTCCATAGTCAGAGTTAAGGTAAGCCAAACACCAAGTGAATTTAATATACGGATTGACTAGCAAGATATTGCACAACTGTGATGCCCATACAAAATGTGCCAATCAGCACGGGGTGTTCAGGCTTACTTTTGTTTTGACGCCACATCTGCACTTGATGGTGGAACTGAGAGAGCAGGGTCCACAGCGACCCTCGTGACACAGGTTCTCACAGGTGTGTACGGTGTCTGCAAAAGGGCAAGCAAGCTGACATGAGAAAATCCCCCCTAGCCCCAGTCAAAGATGGCAAATGTGTAAGCATCTTACAATTTGTAAATTGCACACAAATTACAGACAAAAATTGCATAAAACAGGTTTCATTCATTGTAATTGCCCCGCCCCACCCAAAGGGGGAGGGCAAGGGGTATTGTTTTTGGTTCGGTTTGTTTGTTTTACACTTTAGCAGCAAAACTAATGGCCAGATTCACCCCAAATTCGGTTTAGGGATTGCCACTGACCCAGAATAGATGCCTATTGAATTTAGGAAAAGTAGGTCACAGTATGTGCGAGGGGCGGGGTTTGTTGTGCCTGGCACCACTTGTTTATATGATCTTCAAATTACTCCAGTTTAATTAACGGTTCACGAGTGGCTGAAATGTTGTGCGTGACTCTCTCCATTGCGAATGGCATTTTTATCTCCTTCACCCAGTTTCAGTTTCAGGCCCTGAAATAAAGGTGTTTCTGTCACAGTTGGTTGAACTGCGCGTGGGGGGAGGGCTGCCAATGCATAAACTGACACTGCAAGTTTTGAGTCACAGACCACGTTTGCATTTAGACTCATCCAGTGTGCCGTTTATTGCAAATGCTGTCGCTCTAGTTTCTATCCATTTAGACATTTATATATTATTACAGATCAGAAGATGTGTAATAGCTTTCAGATAGAATGTAGCTACAGTGTGGTACTCACTGCCTCTCTTTCCTGAAGCAACAGTGATACAAACCCCCACTGATAAAACTCCTGCCTATACTACCCCTTGGTGAACTGGTCTCTGGTGCTGCAGAGATCTCTGGCTCTCACCACTGGACCCGCAGGGCAGGGGCTTTCCGCAGGACTTCCCGCAGGAGGGGATGGGGTCTGTGCAGCTGCTCCGCTCGGCATAGCCCAGCTCCAGCAGTTTGGAAAGGGCCGTCTGGCCACACGGACAGCTGCGCACCAGTCTGGGGAGCCGCGGGCAGGACAGGCAGGGTCCAGCGTGGCAGGGTTGCTGGCAGGAGTGATTCCCACAGTCCAGCTGTCTGAGGGGGGAACAAATGCAGGGCCAAGTGTTGGTCGTGGACGTCAACTGGGTGCAGCATCATGGCCTCCACGCGGGATAGACAGATATGACCCTCAAATCCAAATCAGGCCCTGGGTTTCCAAGCTTGAATGCAACTATCTGAAGAAATATTACCATCAACTGGCCAAAAACTGCCTTCACACTCAACTCATATGAATAAGTAGGGCTGGCAACAGACAGACCTCCACTTATTGGACACCGATTCGAGGAGAGTTCTATGCTGGCTGACAAATGTTCCCAGCTTCATGCAAAAAATATGAAAATCTGTTTATAACATACACCACATTAGAGGCAATAGGCAGTCTTCTTAACCCCATAAAACCTACAGACCCATACATGGGTCCATTAAATGCAGCAGCTGTATTCAAAAACTGTGGAAACTTCAGACCTATTTGAAATTTTGGTAGAGATAATAAGTTCTCCAACAACTCAAAGTATGCACTGCTGAATTACAGGAAAATGTATATAAAATGATGTACAAGGGCTAGATATTTTCCATTTGACGTAATGCTGTGGCCATAAAAGTATGGCATCCTGGGTTTGAATATTTCTCTCAATATAAGTGTGATGCAGCTTCAGTGAACCGCTGCAATGAACGGATACAGAATATATGTGACATTGTCCTACAATATGAAAAAGAAAATTGCTTTTCTAAACTAAAACCCTTGAAAGGGAAAATTTAAGTGAAGAGTTAGAGTTAAAGGGGTTAATGTAGGGAAGATGCTTTGAACATAACACTCATTACTCGAGTGAAATAGGCAATAACATTGCTTACTTTCCACAGAGCTTCTGACAGGAAAAGTGTCCAGTCCCGTCAAAGTTATCCCGATCAGTTCCACACGGCACCTCCCGAGACTGAGCACCACAGAAACACACTGGAATCAGGAACAGAGGCAGCAGTTAGCGTGATGTTCTGATGGGACAGAACCAAGTCAACAGTGGCACTCTGATGACATCACAGTCAGTGCAAGGCTAGCACTGGCAACTAAAAATGTTACTTGGCAGCAAACTTGAATGAGTCATTCCAATTCTGCTGAAGTAAAACCAAAATAAGATGCAAATAAGGATGTTATGCAACAAGAGGTGAAAGTTAACGGTCACACTATTAGCCAGGACAGGGTCATAACAGATGCGATGCAATGGCTACCACTAAATGTAAATAACAATCAAGGCAGCAGTGTATGGTACAGCCTATCTATTTGCCCATTCTTTTTTAATTATACTAAAGATGGTAGACAGCCTTCAAATTCCAGAGGCCATATTAAAGACCTCTGGAGTAATAACCACAGCACTACTGAGAACTGGGTGTGCCCAAAACAAGACCAAAAGGTAACAGCTTCTTCTACACAGTCGAACATATCAGACTGATACTTTTCTGCAAATTGGCCATCACCCTAGGGCTATCGGTGGTGAAAGGACGCAGTGTAACTTGGTGGCAGATTAAGACTTTGTTCACCTTGCTTGGTGAGCAGTGGGCAGGGCTGGCAACTGCCCCCGTGGCAAATGTCGGCACAGTTATGCTCCCCGCAGTTGAGTGTAGCATTGCACACCGTACTGCAGCGGATAGAGGCCGACTGACCACACCGCACCGGTTGGCTGGAAAAGAAGAGAGAGGAATTGGCAGTGAGTGGATTGGTCAGGACATCAGAAGGGAAAACAAGCATTGATGTCTAAAGTCACAGGTGGTGGTGCCTTTAGCGCCAAGATACCCACAGACAGACACTTATGCCATTTACATTCAACATTATGTTCCTGCGTTTTTCTTAGCAAAGTGCTGGAAAATAAACAGCAGGTTTAGAAACCTAGAAATACATGTCCAGAATGCTTAATTAAATGACTCGAAGGATCCACAGAAGTCTTTTTTTATCCTCATGCAAAACAAGACAACTGGCGCCATTTAGCCTTACTACCTGCTAACATACCTACGGACGGACACAGATGCAATATGTCTTGGATTTAAAAACCTCTGATTAAAAACCCAAGAGAAGGTAATAGTAATGAAAATCAAATGACAGAGAGAAGGATGCTATACTTTATTTTTGACTTGTCACCACCTTCTAGTGAACAAAGTTTACTGCTTTTCTCAAGGATCTTAAAATGCAGAGAGGGAATTGAACATTGACGTTTTCAAGAACATTCCCTTCCAATCACAGAAAAACAATGGAAAACTAATCGTAATGTCATGAAAAATATTAGCTCAGAATGAAT